AATGAACAAATTCTGCAAATTCCTACTCATAAACAGCACTCGTGCTAGGTTCATGGCAAACTGCTGTATGAACATTCTACCAGAAGTTCATCAGCAATTAATATGCAAACGAGTCTGCCGATCCAACTTACAAACAGCATACCCCACTGTATTGTGATCGTGTGGGTTGGGGTATCATGTAGTCCTACAGGAGAATACCCAGCATTTCAGAGTAACATAATTGACTGCAGCTTCCAGGCTGATACCCACCCGTCAAGCTACAGTGTCCTGACCAAGATCAAAGTATAAATCTTCAATGCTATGGAATCCTCAAAACTCACAGCTTCAGGGACAACACACACCTTTGCTTTACAGACTCCTCGCTGCTGGCACCTGGTGACATGTCTTCCCTGCAGATGGAATGCAGGAGGAAGGGGGCCCCTCCTGGATCGTCCCTGTTGAGACCAGACCCAATCACAACCTCTGACAGCTGAGACAGCAGTTACTCCACTGATGCCCCACCAGCCCTACCAAAAATCACAAATTATAATTCTCCTACAATCTGCATCATACTGATGCCTCTCCCACTGTTCGTTTCCAAAATCCTACTTGATAATGTTCCTCCATGAGACTCACCTTCACTACAAGACCGCTTCGTGACTGGTGTGCAAATGGCCATGTGCGTGGAAGGGATCTTGGGTGCTCCTTTCTCGGTAAGAAGTCCAGCTTCTCACAGGTGACATGCAGGGGGCACGTGAGGAATTCCTGCATGCTCCTAGCTGGCTTCACGCCAAACAGCGTCCTTCACCATGGAGAATGGTTTCTCTGTTTTTTTTTTTTATACATCATGCCACCCCAACAAGAAAACGAGTGAAGAATATGTAGAGAATACTCAATTCTCAAGCACAATATATTTACCAACACGCGCATTATCCATTCAAAATTCGAATTCAAGATTTTCAGTTTGTAAATAACTCACCCAAACGCGAGTGTCAGCACAGGGCCTCCTTGCTCCAGTTCGCTAAATTCAGCGTCATGAAGAACTGTAATACGCCACTGCGAAGCCATCAAATTGCTGCCAACATTGAGCAAAAATCTCTAAGAGGACTCTCAACCACTTCCCTTATACTAAACTACTCTAACTACATACAACAAAGTGCAAAGCAAACTGTTAATTTTCTCTTGGGTGTGGTGAGGGCGGTTCCCCATTGCAGTTCTTCCTACATAGTAATGTGCCGCAGGCAATACACCCTGACACCTAATATATCAAGTCAACATCATAACATTCACCTGCAGTGTAACATAAGCAAAACCTGACTGGAACTTTAGCTGATGTGGGGTGGACAGACCATTGTCTGTACTGTCAAAGCTTAAATAATTCCTCTTGTAAATCACAACGGGTACTTACCTGCAAAATATTATTTTATGAACTTATTATTATTATTATTATTATTATTATTAAGAACAGAGATTTTAATTATTCCTACTGCGTTTATTTTTCTATGTACTTTACACTTAAACCTCCGCCTTCAACCGGCCATATTTGGCGAAAATGAAAACCAATCAAATCGCGTCTGTTCAATCATGTGAACCAACGGTTACATCCAACGTTACCATGATAACTTATGGGTCAGGTCGGGAGAGTACTCTGCGATACTCTGTGCCTTGGACTCCTAGAAGCATGACCCTACTCTGTCCCTTATTTCTCTCTCTAGCACGCATCGCCTACCAGGCCTACCGGTCCCGAGTCCCGAGAATAGAAAGTGGTCCAGGAAGTTCTCTGTTTGCAGTGATAGATATGTCCCAACATCTTTAACATACCAAAACCCTGCCTTTTGCCAGTAGATTGCGTTTGTGTTTCATATTACTCTCACAGTAAATGGTGATTCTTTTCTTAACCGCATGATCCGGTTGAGCTTTGTAGCGGAGACGTAATATGTTTCCTGAGAGATCCGAATTTAATTTTGATATTTGCAAGAAATTCGGTCTTTGAAGGGTTAACTCTGGATTTCCAACATGTATTCAGTCACTATATTGATGGAACCACCTTGCCTTAACTATTGTAATCTAATCTTGGATGTCCAGCCCGTTTAATCACTACACTGACTAATCCACCTCATCTTACATTACTGAACCCAGCCATTCAGTCCATAGCCAGACACTTTACTGAGCTATCTTGGCTCCCTTCCTATTATTGGACAACCCCCACCCCCTCCAAGGCTTGAAGATATCCAAACTGATAAAGAAAATTATATATTTTTATTTAGTAGGAAGTCTTAAACAGCTTAAACATAAGTTTGTAGTATTTTTCTGGTTGCCCCCACTGAAAATACTCTGGTGGTGGCTTTGTACATCTCTGGCCTTAACCTTCCTGTTAATGGAATGGTAATCTATCACTGCACACACATTATTTTCCCATCCAGATGATAAGAGGTAAAAGTTGTCCTTGTCCTTAATTTATTAAACACCATGCCAGGCAGATGTATGGGGGAGTGGAGTTATAACTCTAACATTCTGGACCTCAGCACTAGATTGAGGTGAGTGGTCAGCTTCACACCCCAACCACTTTACCCCAGGGAAAAGCACCCAGGACCCAATTTAAGAGGAGGCAGGGTGAGCCCCAGAGCCAGTTTGGATGCTGTGAAGAAAAGAAAACTCTCTTGCCCCTGCCAGGAATTGAACATCAAACATCTAGTCCACAGCCCATTGCTGTACTGACTGAATTACCATATTTGTCCAAATAAAAGCCACACCCCCCAAATCATACAGTCTTCAAGTAAAAAATATTTCATGCACTTACATCACTACACACAACAATCAGAACATCTCAGCATAAGCAAGTATGGGAGCCACCCACACTGAATTGAGTGCTAGCCAATCAGTGTGGACCATGGCAGCTCCAACACCCATTGGTTCACACACCACCTAGAGACAACTTATAAAGACACAGACCTCTGATATGCTAGCAGCAGTCGCAGCCATGCCTACATCAAGACCGTAAAGAGCATGTTTCTGAGGATCAACACCATCAGGCCGACTCTGCACAGCAACACTGATGGTCGACTCCACTAGCAGTCACCTAGATCCCCCACCTAACAGTCGGCCCACAATCACTGAGCTGATGCTGAAGGAAGACCACCAACCCTAGCACAGGCTTGCCCGCTACGACATGAGCTTCGCCCAGCATCCATCAGGCATGCCCAGCCTCAGACATATGCCTTTTCAGGACCACAACCTGACCACTTACCACACACTTTGCCTGCCTGCTTGTCTGTATATTTTGTTACAAAAAATAAATATTTGTTAAATAAATTTACATGGTTGCTACCAGATTCAACATCCTACACAAGTTTCACATTCATCCATGTACTTACATTCGCCATTTGAAACATGTCGATTTAATTTCCGGAGTTGTGACGAGGCTTTAACAACGCCAGAGAATTAGGCACACTGCATTTCCCTCAGGACTCCACTAGGTGGTAACAATAATTTGACTCAAGTTCAAGTAAATGTACAATTTAACTGAAGATAAAGCATCATTGCTTGATGATAACATTGAACTGTGCACCTTCACTAGATCCAGAGAATCCAATATGTCCCCCTCCCCCTTCAAGGACCACTGATTTTAAATGTGTCATTTTTCAGGGAAAAGTGTGACTTATGTTCAGACAAATACAGTAACTACCAAACAGTCTGCATGAAACAAACAGAGACTACAAACAAAATTAGTGATGGAACTCAGATAAAGCTTTGCATTGATCCACAGATATAGTCTTCAAACTGCAGTCTCAAATCTGTCACTTCAGATTCAAGTCAATGCCCTCATACAACAATGGCACTGTGACGTAAATTTTGTACTCGGGTTGTTAACACTATGTGGTTATGGGAAGTGTTGCCGACATTACAGAAGTGCATCAAGCCTCCATCTTCAGGGTCAAAATGTGTAGGCTGGGGAGCATTTTTTTTAATTAACTTCCAGCCACCCTCCATGACACTCAACCCATAGTAAGAAGTAACGGGACATTTTGCCTGGTGAGCAGTTGGATGGGTGACTGCTCAGGAGAACGAGATGCTGATGGGACTTTTATGTATTCCTACACCCATACAAGGGCCATCTGCACAGTTTTCGCAGTCCACTGTTCCTACTGGCATAGAGGAGGCACCAATCCCCACTATGTCCCCCTCAACTCCCTTTTCTTTTCTTAAACAGAATGTTATATATACACTGCAACTGACCAGCCTACACATTTCAATCCTGAAGGTGCAGACAGCATGTACCTCTGAAATGACAGCAACACTACCCACAAGCACACAGTATAACAATCCAAAAACAGAATTAATGCCAATTATTAACCACCCTGAAAGCCTAAAATCAGTAGGTGTATACTGTTTTACAACTTTGTTTTAAGACATGGTCTCCAACTTTCAGAACTCGAGAATGAATCAAATTTTAAAACATGCATAATAATCTGGAAAGAGAATGATCATAATTTTGTACACATAAAAATAAAGTTCTTTTATTTTCTGGAAAACCACAAAATACCCCTGTAAATGTTTTCATAGCCAGTGATGCACTGCACAGCTAAAATATTAGAAACCCCTTGTTAAACAGATGTATATTTATATTCCTGAAGCACTGAAGTTTTTCCAAATAATACAGAAACCGGGGATGACTGAGTCTATTAAATAAGTAAATTTCATTGTCAGTGTACAAGTATTCTAACGCCAACATATCTTCAGCAGTTGAGGAGTTCTTAACCAACAGCATGTGCAGAGTTTTAGATTTTGAATCTCCCATGGAAATTCTATAAACAAACTTAACTCTTTGACTGGCGTGAAGGGTATTTAAATCCCACCCCTGTCCTGGCAGGCCCTTTAAACCTTATGTCGCTAAAATGCATGTAGTTACTTTTTCCTAAACAACTTCAACAAAACTTGGTTTTTAAAAACGAAATTTTCAGGAACTAATTAAAAGACAATATTTTATGCAATAAATGCCTTTCCATACCTCTTTATTAGTTTTTCTTCGTGTGATAAACATTGAAACATGAAAGTTTGCAGAGAGCCACACCACAGCCTGCACACATGACACATGTTTCTTTTCTAATCTTGTGCTTAGCACACACTCGACACTTTCTCAGGGCACCATTCTTCTTATTGTTACTGGGAGGAACATGGACCATTTTGTGAATTTTCAGGCCACCCTCTAGACGATTTGCTGGCTCTTTCACTGGTGGTCTTTTCAGGGTCGCGGGCGGAGGCATGACTGCACTCGAGTCTGACGCAATAGATTTGTATTCATTCCTTGACTCTTCTCCCTCTCCACCCTGTTTGTTTGGTTCAGTCATTTTTCTACACAGTCCAATATAAAATCTTTGAATCTGTAATTTCTCTTCTTGTATTTTTCGTTTGTTGTGTTCTTTTTGAATAGAATGAAACTATTCAACCGCAAAGACATGTTTTGTCCATACCATGGGTGTGAAATAGGGGCCTAGTGGACAAATATTCTTCAATTTCAGGGCGTTTGTCGATTCCTGTCATGAACACAATTCCTAAGTATGTCCAGATTTCATCTGATGTGACATAATTATAATTGTGTTTTCGAGAGTGAGGAGCTAACTCATGTGTGTTGAAGTGCTGGTGAGCATAGCGATTGGTTTCAGTTGTGATGTGATTTACCAAGTCGTCATCCAGAAAAAATTTTAATCCATGAAAAGGGATGCATTTTATGTGTTATATTAATTTTGATCCCGAAACTACTAACAAATAGAACTTTTGTGGGTACAATGTCTCCGTACGTTCATGAGATGGGCGTGTCAGGCACCGCACTCGTGGTAGGTAAATGTTCATGATTACTGTCTTGTGGATCATTGTCTATCACTGTATTATTGTCACTATCAACTTCATCTAATTCAGGAATCATTATTTCATCGCCACTATCATCAGAACAAATCTCGTTCACAACATTTTCCAGCTGGTCTGTAGGAACACGAAGACACTTGCTGCAAGAAGCCATGGTGAAACTGAATGAATGTGAAATATTTTCTGACCTTTTCCTTCTCAGAGGGTTCTGACAGTAATATAGACCCCCACAAAGTTTACAAGGGTTCTTTACAAACATGCACAAAAACTATCATATATATGTCTTTGGTTGATGAGTGCCAAGAGAGCAAAGAAGGGAAGAGATTGTCAAAGCGTTAAAACACGCCAACGCCAGGGAACGGCTGGCATCGTCTGGGCGTTAAAACACACCCGCGCCAGTCAAAGAGTTAATGTGTCTCATCTTCCTTTGCACAATAAGTTGGAGACCACCGCTGAAACCAACAGGCACTGGAAGAAAGTATGCAGTTATGCATAAAAATTATGCAGTCCTAGTAAGTAAGTCACATTCATTTAAACAGTGTAGGCCATCTGGAGTACTTTATTTTTATATTTAGTAGTAGGAAGAAATGAAGACCAAGAGATAAGGTAGGTGGGTTGAAGTTAATACGGCTTACCTTCAACTATCAATTATCTAAAGAAGTGGTCTTGGATATTTTTGAGGAAGAGGAACTGAGAATATCAAAACTGTCATGTTTCAGGTAATAGATAGTTTATCGTTCACAAAGAAAATGCCTCATTACATATTGCAACAAAAATATGCTGCCCTAACACAGTAACTCTTTTAAAATACAAAACGATTAAGAATTCTGATGCAAGAAATTTGTGTATGTTTAAATTTACTTTTGTTCTTTTAGTGAGTCTTGAGAACAAACTGCCAAGGAATGAATAGAAAGAACTGGGATAAATACAAAAATTTGGATGTAATTATCATAGGAACTGATCCCATCAATATTTCATTCCACATTTGCATTATGTAGGGTATTTCTATATACACGCACTGTTCATGGTAGTGTTCCTTCTAGAAAAGAAGAGCACATTCAATCACCAGTACTTCAAAAAAGTGGGGGGTGCTTCACTGCTGCTGTAATCTGAAAATAAACTATCTGTGAAAGCTTCTTGTAATAGCTCAACATTCTTTTGTCACTCTCAGCTATCACTTTGGAAGTTCAAGTCAAAGGAAATTCATTAACTGTTAAATTTGTGAGGTAGAATATGGTTTTTTGTTTCTCACAATGTGCAAGCAAAGAAATCAACTCAATCATCACAGGCTGCAGACTCAAGCTTCCTCTAGTATTTACACTTATCACAGTAAGCATCTGTGCCACCATGGGGGGAAATAAAATGACTGAAGTAAATACTTGTGTCACTGGTCAAGGGGCTGTGAATATTACATTATAACTGTGTAATGAATACTATTGTTATTATGTTGTATGATCTTGTGCTGCCATCACTTTTGAGGTACCATGTTGATTTGTGCTACTGATCATAACAATCCATCTTACTTATTTCTTAAAAATAATCAATTGATGCCTTTAAGGACAATCCCTGAAGTGTGTTACAGATATCTGGGAGCTTTCCAAGTCTTTCAAGAAACTCTTATTAAAGAGGAGAAAAGGAACTGAGTTCTGCAAGATAGAAATGTGTTTGTTTATAATATCTGAGCCTTATTCAGAAGGAAAATGACTACTGAATTATTACTGAATTTCACTTTTACGAGTTAACAGGCTCCACACTGGCAATAAATGTATCAAACCCCTCCCAAAGTTGCAATCTTAGTGCTCAAATCATTTTTCTGTGTTGTAATCCTTCCCCATTGAGGTGTAAAATAACAATTTTGTATCGTTTCTTTTCAGTTTTCTACACTTGTATAGGAAAAACTTATTAGACACTTCAATCCTAGTCATAATGGAACATGTAAACCGACATAAAACTTAATCCAGAGCCAAATATATTTTGGTTAATGAAATTAAACCCAAGATGCATCTGAACACCAGATTTTGGAGTTCAAACAAAATATAATAAAATGAAATGTTTTCTTCAGAATATGGCTACCTGTGAACACAAGAGCTCTAAAGTTTGTAACATAATTCAGAAGTTCAGGAAGGAGTTCTGCATTTCCACACTAATGTTCCAAAACTGGGAAGATAATGACAAGGTACTAACAGGAAATTTTTCCACATTTTGGTCTTACTGTAAGCAAAATAAAACTTATTATCCACATACACACATATTTCTTTTCAAGGGACAATGGATTTTGGATAAAACATTTCATAAAGGTTTCACGACATTGATAAAATTCTGTGTGTCAACAAACAATTAAAAAACAAAAGGCATGGTGCCATATTATTTCTCTATACAGTAGGCCCCTATTTGTTATTTACTTCTCTTCATTTTAAATAAGTTTTACTCATGATTTCTCTTCACATTTATATCATCCTGCTATATATCTCTTTTTTTCCCTGACAAGTTTTGAAATCAATCCATGATAATGTGCATAGACTGGATTGTCTGTTATATTTGTCACCAAAGGAAGCAATAAAACACTTCCAAATTCTGATAAAGTTTCTGGATTAATGGTGATGGTGGAATCCAACTGTAGCTTCCACTACAGCAATACACACTTCACACGAAACTTCTAAGTTCAACTTCAGTCTCTCTTCTTCTTCATCCACATGCCCACACAGCCTTAAGTGGGACCTTCACATAAATGTGCCTTGTACAGAGATTATTGTGTTGTTCAGCCCTGTTCCATGCAATTCTTCACAGAGATGCAGACTTAAGTGAAACTAGATGCACTGCCACTGTTACAACATCAAAGCACAGTCATTATTCCAGTCTTGTTCCTTACACAGTACTTAACTTCAGCCAGTACAGCTCTTTAAGAGGAAACTGACGAAGAAGCAAACAGAGTTACATTTTTACATTTTTCACATCTTTTATCCTATTCAGTCACAAGCATAAAGTTCCTGTATTTCCTGCTTCTGCCCGGAAGTTGAGTCATCTAACTTCTTAAAAGGAAACTGGCAATAAAGCAAACAGTAACATTTTTACACTTTGCACATCATTTTATTCTATTCAATCACCGGTATAAAGTCCTTATATTTCCCACTTCTGTCTTGAAGCTGATTAACAATCTAAATCTTTCACACTGAAGGTAGAATTCTTCTTTATCCCCCTGAAGTTTGTAGGTCACCATCTTGTTAGGACATGTGGCATAATCCAGAATGAGGTCAGTAGATAACTTCATATACTGTTGCCTTCTTGTCACCAGAACCTGTGACGATATATTTATCATCTGCTGAGATGTCACAGCTTAAAACAGAAGAGGATTCCTTTGACTGAAAATGAAAAAATACATTTCTCACAATCCAGCAAGTCATGAATACTCCATAATTTGCTAGTACGTTCTACATACACACACACACACACACACAGTGGTTCTTTTCTAAGTCCTGTCCAATTATTAGCTTGGAAGAGCTGAAGGAAACCACAACTGCTTCAAACTCTGGAGTATTTGCTCTGTATGGAATATGACCAACTGCTTCAGTTTAAACCAAATTTGCCAACTGGTTGAGAATAAGGCCAGTGATGACACTGGTCAATAGAAGTTACAAGAAAGCATTCTGAACAATCTTACAGGCATTTTGTTGCCATAATTTTAGAAATCAAAAGAGATACATGAGAAGCTGATATTTAAGATACTGAATTCATAAAGTTGTTCTTTATTACTGCTTGAAAACAGAGCCCCTAGCCAATACACTATCTATCATCATCACCAGTAATATTTCTGGTTGTATGCAACACACCAATATTATGTTTGCAGATGACACAAGTACTCTTTGTACAGCTAAAGACTACTATAATTTAAAAATAAAATTGGATGTTGTTTTCAATTACATGTTTACATGGTTTCAAAATAATCAATTAGTGTTAAATCTGGATAAAACAAAAATGATAAAATTCACCCCAACATCAGCTACGAGCTACCCTCTATATACATTCTTTTTTAACAAAAAGCTGAAAGAAGTAGAAACGATAAAATTTCTCGGTTTGCAGCTGGACAATCATCTGACTTGTAAGAAACATATCGATTTTTTGCTTCCCAAGTTGAGCACAGTTTGTTTTCTAATGCGAAAATTATCCTATATATTAAATATAAATACAGTCAACTCTTGATTATCTGGGGGCGGATTAACCAGTTTGCGGCTTAACCGGGGCTACTGAGGCTTTTTTAAGGCTTATATGTTGTTTAATATTCATTCACTTTTGTTTCACATGGCGAGTTGTAACACTATTTTCGCACTAGTGTGAACCGAGCTCTGCATTCTTTGGTCCTGTGATGCGAACACAATGTTCTAGGGTAGGGGTGAAAGAATGTGTGGGAACTGCCCACAGTCAAGGATTTGCAAGGATTTGTGGAAAGTTTCAAGGACAGATACATCGCCCCAGTTAGTATCTTTGTATCGATCTTCAAGTGCATTAGCAAACTGTCAGGGTGTAAAAGGAAGCGTGTTGTGTTAAGTATTCAACAGAAAAAGGAAAATGCCGCGAAAAAGTAAATGACAATATTAATTTTTTTAAGTGTTAATATTTGTAAAAAATGTTGGATGTTGTTGAAGACTGTGATTGAAATAACTAATTCATACTTCAGTGTAATGTAAAAAAAGTATTAAATAGGCTTCATATACCTTCAACATATTTATCATCCTATCAAAGAGGGGTGTATTATTCAGGCGTCAAGCTATTTAACACTCTGCCGTCAAATATCACAGTTTTAAAAAATGATAAAAAGCAATTTAGGTTTGTTTTACGAAATTATTTGCAAAGTAACATATTTTACTCTATTGATGAATATGTCGAGCATGCAAGGGGCTCAAAAGTTATAGAGTTAATAAATGGTCTGTGTGCGTGAATTATATATTGTTCAGACTTGCTTGTTGTAAGTGTAGTAGTATGTTATAAACTTGTACTGAACTTTAATATTTTATAATTGTAACTGTTTTAATGATATGGCTTGCCAGTGTGTGTGGAATGGAAGGTGTGAATTTGACTGTGGTTTTTCCATGACCCATGTGTATTGTCCTGACAACTTGAGCTATCTGTGATAGGCCTGATTATATTTTTTATTGGACAAAGAATGAATGATGTGTAGTCATCATGAATTTGTAATATGTAACATTTTATATCCAGCCCTGCGGGGAAATGATGGGATCCATAAAGTGAAAATAAATGTAAATGTAAACACACCAAACAACACTCCAGGTGTCTTCTCATAGTTACAAATACCAATGTTGAAGCAGCACAGTTCAGAATATGCCTTAAAAGAATCGACTTTTCATTCTTCAGCTGCTGGACAGCAAACAGTAATGCTCTAACATATTTAGTTCATAAGAATTCCCCTAGGCAGAGACGGATTTGTTTGGTAACAAGCGCACCAAGTGTTGAAATTGAAAACTTTTTCAAACAATTCAAATATATTACAACTTCTGCAGGAAGTTCAAAGTAGGATAACGAACATATGAAACGACAGCCTGAAATTTCCTCTTTAATTTCATGCCAAAAGAATTATTTTACATGAAAAACAATGGTTCAAAATACGAGCTGAAACTTAGAGCAACAATACGAGTGCATGGTATGGACAGAATCCGCTGGCAGGCCACGTACGGAGCCCGTCACTGAAGGGTTAAATTCCAGTCTGTCAGAAAGTGTTTACTGCCTGCAATTTATATTAAATATTGTTATCTCTACTAATAACAATTTGTTATTCATGGTAGCAGTAGCATATTCTTCTTGAAAAAAAATGCCTGCCTGTATACAGAGATGCTTAGATAAACAATTCATGGTAGGATAGTGCTTAGACAAAACAGCCCACTTCTACATGCTTATAAATATGTAATCACGTCATTCCTCACTTATGCAGTTGAAACAGAATCATTAAGTAAACAAATAGAAGATCATAAATGTGCTTTATATGCTAACCTGGAATATGGATGCCCCATAAGGAGTCCTCCAAGCATTGAGAAGGTTGTCTTTTCCAGTTGAAACAAACCACTTCCCGCATGCAGCAAAGCGAAGAGAGAGGACACAGGACTCATGGAGGTGCAACTGATACTTGTCAGGTTTGGCTGCATGTAGAACTTCAACATTGGAGTTCTCCATGCCAACAGCAAGCCATTCGCCAGTGGGACAATAGCCCAAAGAGAAGATTTGTGATGAGAAGTCATGCTGCTGTAATTGCCGACCTTCCCGGAGATCCCAAGACCTGACAGTATTGTCTAGTCCACCAGTCCATAATTTGGTTCCATCTGCAGAAATGTCAATACATGATGCACCATCTGTGTGACCTTGGAACTGACGTACTAGCGTCTGGTTGTGAAGGTCCCACACTGCAATGTTGCCATCTGAACAGCAGCTGAAGCATACCTGCTCAGAACAAATACCCAAGATTTCTCTGTTAATACAGCAGAACTTTTTCAATTGTACTACATATCACTGTGCATCATATTTCAAAATATAATTGATGCCAAATAAATTGAAGAACTATGGTCCCAGAATTACTTAACACTTGTTCTTTGTAGCAGATCAGCTAACCTTTGAAGCTTGTAAAGCATATATTCATGTTATAAAATTGAAAAACCATAAAATTAAAATAAAATCATGTTACAGTAAACTCCATCTGCCCTTGAAAATGTATTTCAAGGGAGAAAACTTACTATTACAAGAAGACTTTAAGCAAATATGCATCAAGAGTACAAAATCCAGAAAAAGCTGCATACCTCATTCTATATGAAGGGAACACATTCCTAGGCAATCTATACAAATTGTAAGAAATAAAATCATGACTCTGCATGGAATTTAATATGTCAGATCTATATAATTATTTCTCAGGGTCCCCCCCCCATTGCAGTTCAGATTTGTCACATGTTAAATGACTATAGATGGGTCATGGATTGGTAATTGGATTTACTGGACTCTTACAACACATGACTACATGTAACAAGAACAGTTTCACTAATCCACACACTTTACATTTCACTACAGCAAGTGCTAAGCCCTTTGTGTCTTCACTAGTCATTGATATGCAATGGCTTCCAATAGTGGGGACTTCACCTCCGATGACTCTGCCATAGAGCAAATGTCTCTCAACAACCTCAGATATGGATTGGCCTGTCTGTGTGCAGACTCTTTCAGATTTGTCAAAGTCAAAGTCACATTGCGACTGACAGTCAGTCAGTCAGTCAGTCAGCCTTGGTGTTGAGCCCAATCTGGAGCTTATGACCAGATATTTATTGCTGTTTGACAGTTTCGGTCTTGTTTTTGTGAGACGCCCTCTCTGATGAGAGAACAGGTATGTCTTTTCTCTGAGTCATTATCTGCAGTAGTAAGTCATTTGTCAAAATATAAAGGATATTTAAATTTTACACGTTAATAAATGTATATAAAATATATACAGGGCCTCTGTCAGTCCAGGCTCAGTATAGCAGATTATGCTCTATTTCCAGGATCTTCCTCTACAATGGCAGTCTAATCACTTGAACAGTCATAGGCTTGACTGCCGCCAAGTTTAAGCCTCTTATAATTCAGGCTTTGCCTTGTCCAATATTGCGAACATTTTCGTTATCATGATTTTGTATGACTTCCGCTTGTTGCCTGCATAATTTTGTTATATAATCATATACATACAGAATTTTGAAAGCCATGTGTAAATCGTGAACTTTCAGACTTGTCAAAGTCAAAGTCACATTGCGATTGATGGTCGGTCAGTCAGTCAGTAAGTCTTGGTGTCAAGCCCCATCTGGAGCTCATGACCAGATATTTATTATTGTTTGACAGTTACGGTCTTGTTTCTGTGGAACACCATCTCTGACGAGAGGATGGATCTGTCTTTTTTACATGCTGCTGGCCCTTGCCAGCGCAATCTTTCTCAGGTCTGAGTCCCTTAGTACTCACAACCATATTTTACTGTCTCAAATCTGAGACTTCCCTTTTTGTAGCCTCCTACGACTCGCAGAGTCACGGTGGAGGTATTCGACCCTGCCTCCACACAGGTGTTTCAGACTTGCCCAGTTGGCCTCCTTATATATACCCTTGGGGCAGACCCGACAGAAAACACCTCTTCTAATAATTCCTCTAGTGTTGCATTTGTGTATTCCTTGCCCTGGAAAAGTGTTTACCAGCTGTTTAGGTTGCTGTAGCCTAGCAATGGATGTCCATTTTCTCTTCCAATATTCTGGCTTTCAGCTGCCATGTCCAGTGTATTTGATATAGGCTTCAATTTCTTCTCATATTGTATTGCCTTATTCAACGAGTAAATAGGTTTAAATAAGGTTTGTGTGCCATAAACTTTTACTATGCATTTAGACAATTCTTAAATTATTGGTACAACTGTGCAGAACCCCAATTGACACTACCTTCCATTTTCATGTTTTTATCAGTCATTAATGTGTATGTACATTTCTTTGTCACGAATTTTCATCATAAGCAGTGTTATGATGCTAAAAGAACTCACTTCATACCATTCTTGAAATGAATGCCTCTGAATAACAGTTTTTGAGTAGGATACCCTTTACTTGCACAATGAATAGGAAAGTCATGATCAGTGTCTTTCTTAACAGTATCCAATTCCAGAGATGTCACAAGTTTTATAAATTTGAATTGGTTATTGCCCCCACACCCCCAACCCCAAACCAAACCTGCGTCATAGTCCATTGCCACAGAATTCTGTCATACCAATGAATTATATTACTGCTCTCCAAATGCATAAAAAACACTATAATGAATTTAACTCATTTCAGTAAAGGCTTAATTAAAACGTTTAGTACTGCCCATTATCAGTTTTAACAAGATTACTATCCAAATGTGTATCAAAAGTAACTTTATAATTCTGCTGATATAACCATCATTATATACTACTACTTTAAAAAGTAATTCCATAGTATCTGTTAAATAATTATTACATTATATGTACTTATTCAGCAGGTCATCATTACATACCAAGAAATTAACATTCTGTTTAAAAGATCCAACAGAAAGCAATTATCCATATTTCATCCATTAAAATGTATACTGACTTCAAATAAGGTTCATATTATTTGATTAACAGAAAACAAAATGCATGATTCAAGTGCACTTACTTTAGAATCCGGACTAATTGCCAGAGCATAACATGCAGGGGCACTAGAGGTGAGCTCTGCCTTGATGCGGGGTGTAGGAGACGCCAGATCCCAAATACTCAAGTTGCTTGCTTCTCCACCCACGATGAGTGTCCGGCCATCTGGCAATAGTTTAACTGACCGGATGTAGTTATCCCGTTGCTGCACAGCACATAGCATAGACATTAGTAAATCACAAGTATTTCCTATTTGTTTAAAATTTCATTGTAGGCATGTTAGTTTGAGCCAAACTGGCATAATTCCTGCTGATGTTACTTACATTTTTTTCTGGTTCTATTTATTTTCATCATAAATATTACATGCACAGTGTGCACTTGGGGCCACTAGAAGTTATCCTCCCAAAGTCCCCAGAACTTCACATTATTTGTGGTTGTCATGTCACACACAGAAGACATAAACATTGTCTTCTGTGATGTAATGCTGAGTGTATGTACAGTAATAAACTACCAACATTTTGGAGGAACCTTCCACATCCACCTTCTGGGTACTGGTTCCAGTAATCTTTGCATTTACATTAATTTTTCTGAGTGTAAATATTACTCATATCACCCACAGATACCACAAGACAGAAGATGAATCACTGATAAACTCACCAGGCAGTCAAGCTGGGAGACAGGGCTCTTTGAGCCAGGTTGGCTGATGTCCCAGACTTTGACACAACCCTTGCCACCTGTATAGACATACTTTGTCGGGTTGCTGATTGTGACTGCACACACCACTTCTCCATGACTCAATGTGTTGATCTGACGAGCATGGCGGGGAATCCCTGGCCCAATCAGCGCATCTGGAGGAAATGGCACAGGCTGCATCTGTCCATCTGCACTTACATGAAATGAGTAAGCCCTGTAACACCCAAAAATGAGATATACTCTCAGGAAAAGCATAATAAAGTGAACTGCAAGCTGCATTTGAGCAATGTGAGACTGCAACAACCACATGTTTTCATATGCCAGAGCATGTTACATGCTGGGTGACAATGTCCAAATAAAAACTTCAGCACAATCAGAACACAGTATCTTCCACCTAAATTAATCTTACTTAGGCTATGCAACAAATTCTACATGCTATTCTTTAAATTCCAAAATCCCACACATTTTTGCTTTCATCTGAAATAATCATCCACCTCTTCTATGTAAGCAGAAGACCATCCAAGGAATCTTACCAAATATATGTAATCAAAATTCTGAAACCCAGAAAATGGGAGGCTTTAGGCTGCACTGACATTTTGTGTCAAACAAAAAGAAGAATGTTACCTACTTCCTGCTCTTCTAAACAAGTCCTTTCCAATTACAAAATTACTTTAATAACTCTTGGTGAGCTGTGCAAGTCATCATATTCCTTGCTATGTAAACCTTCCATGGCCCTCCTACAGTATTTTACTAGTACACAAAAATACTAATAATAATAAACTGTTAACCTTCACTTGGATACTTAATGATAAGTATGCTGCCTTTTCAAGTAAACATATTATGGCCAACCAAATGTAAGAATACACATAGAGAAATGGAGGTCCTAATCAGCACTCATTTTTCACTGTGAAGTTCTTAGAGCTACGTGGCTGAAAGAAACTACCCAGGATAGGTTACACTATGACAGACAAAACTCCCAGGCAAGTAGTTAATAAAGTTTCATAATCTTACTTCACAAGAAATTCAAAGTTACAACAAAAACAAACAGGGATATCAATGACACTTTGACTTCTGGCAAGTTCAATGTGCACATTAATCACTTGATTACAATTTACAGGAGGAAAAATATAAGACCTGCATGTAATTGTCCATGCATCTTATCCCCATAAACAGGCACATTTCATTTAACTCTATATTTCATCTTGTAAATTAAATACATGAGTCATACCCATTATGTGAACAGGAGAATAAACAAATGAACTAAGTTACTCACGGTTTTCCACCTGGAATGGTTCCAAGTCCTGGTCCAAGAGGGGCACGCATCTGTGGATGAGGATCATAGTTAACAAGAGCTGGGCGAGGGTAAGAGTTCAGCCCAGGTGGTAGGTTGTTGTGTAATGCTGCCCCATATGCTCCAGCTGCTGCTGCTGCTGCTGCAGCCTGCAGTTCATGGGGTGCTGCTGGACCCAGGTAGTGTGGGTACTGTGCCAATGAAGGTGCTTTCACCTATACAAACAAACAGACAATTTTCAGTGGCCGATCTTCAGTCCATAAATCCATCTGCAAGATGCATGTGCTAGTCCCTTTTCAATTCAGATATTAATTTTGTGGCTTTTTATCAAAGTCTGTATTAACAGCACGCCATTTAACACTACCATACCTTGGCAACTATCTTCCTCCAAGAATAAAAATACAGCACATTAGTGTCATTCAGCAAAATTTTATTTATGGTATTTCCTTAACAAATATGGCACATTTATTAATATTAACAATATTCCTTCACTGTAAATCAATCTTTGTAACCTGAAACTTATGAGTAAGCACCAATGTATAATAAACAAACTTCCATATCTTATTTGACAATTAGAAACAATTATTGGTCTTATTTTAACAGTATTGCAAGACATAGCAGGAGCAGAAACTGCTGCATGGCCCCTTATATCACCTGACTGGACAACAGCATGAAGCTGTTGGGGCAGAAAGTTCCTCCAAAACCATAACAATCCAGCAAACTTAAGGGCATCATATCCCAGACAACAATAATCTTCATAGTTACCACTGTGAAAACCTCAACTATCAGAAGATAAACCTGTTTTTATTGTTTTTAAGTACTTATTCCATGCACTGGTGTTGGAAGCCAATACAGTCCTGAATGCAAACAAGGAGTATGATCCATATTAATTCAAACAGCAGAAATGACATGGAATATAATCCATGTTTCATAACTGTTCTTGTATATCAAGTAAGAGTAATAAACTTAAAATTCAGTGACTGGTGTTCATAACTCGTATACATTACCATGTCAAGTCTAGTTTGGCAAAGGAAAGAGAATGTTAATGTTTTCCAGTCTACCTAAAAATTCATCCCTTAATACTCTAACCAGCTACATCTCTAAACATGCCACAGCAGCTACCTACAGCAACTCCATAACTATTCAAAACCACTGTAACCACTAGGACATAAAACACAAAATACTCATTGAAAGTTCAAAAAGCTTCAATTTCTACATACTTATACTGCCATGTGTAATATCATCAGAGTATAGAGACTTCACATACCACAGGTTTAAGTCCACTGGCACCAGCTGCTGTACTGCTCCCACTACCACCGCTGGTTGGAGTCACTGACTTTGAGATAGGTGTTGTTGGTTTTTCACCATCCAGTTTCTTAGTCGATGGTGTACTCGCATTTGAAGATGTTCCACTCCGAGGACTACAACAGAAGAACATATAAAACTGGTTTAAGAAAGAATATGTTCATTACATGTGTAGTTAAAAGTAAAGGTATTCCTGTAACAGGCAGTAGAGGCCCATAGGGTTGTGAGATGTTGAAGCTCCCACATTTTCTAGAGATGGCAGTATGGTTGTCAGCCTTACACAACGGCTGCCCTTTACCCCCATGAATATTCCTGCGACTCATTTCTGTTAGAGGCTGAGTCGACCCCATGGCCATAGTGCAGCTGGAAGGACTGGGTAAATTTAAAAAATCCACCTCATCAGGATTCAATCCCATGACCTTCCAGCTTGTAGCACATTGCCTCAACCAACTACAGTACCATGTGCCCCCACATGAACAGTTACAAGGGTTTAAATTTTGATATTATGTTTACTACCAGTTAAAATATTCTGACAGTTCATTGAACCAATAGAGGTTAAGTCTTATGTTGTGATGTTGATATATAATAATTTCAAATTAAAAAGTACATATTTTAAAACATAAGCAAACTTCAATCCCTTCGTACCACGTAAGGTAAAGTTGTCCCTGTGTTTAACAATTTAAGCACTAGGCCATGAAGATGTATGGTAGGGTGGGTGTTTTCATGGCCTCAATTCTAGGGGTGAGTGGTCAGCTTCACCCCTGGCCACTTTACACCCAGGGAAAAAGCCTTCAGTACCCATGGGCCCTAGAACCAATCTGGATGACATGGAGAAGAGAAAATTCTTGACCCTAACTGGACTCAAGCTCTGACCGCCCAGTCATCCAGCCCATAGCCAGTCACTATACCAATTGCACTATCCTGGCTCTCTTCATACCATGTAGCTATATTAATTTATAACTAACATTTCAACAAACTTCTTGTCACACTGCAGTTAACAGTGTAATATTTGACAGGAGTGTTTTGACCCTATACAATCAACATCAGTTCCTTTCTTCCAAGTGGATTTACAGCTGTTCCTCAGTCACTGAGTTATATATTAGCAGACATTGACACAAATGAACTAGTTCCAACTTTGTGTGAAAATGGCAGTTAACCACATAACATACGATTCTGTTTCAAGACATAAATATACAAGTGAAACAGTTATTTACTTAACATTTTATCAACAAAATGAGACATCTGTGATGTCAAAAAAAATATGTGTATGTATGTATGGATGGACACACACATATATATATATATATATACATATTCATATTCACTTAATTATAATTTTGATTTGTTGCATTCTGGTCCATCACACTAACAATATTACAAATGATAAAACAATTCCATCCAGTGTGACTGTTGAATGGTTATTATTCTGTCAACACACTCTACATCCCAATACAAGAATATACTATCTTAGAATCTGGACATACTTTTTAACAGAATTGACAAAGTTACAATCAGGGCAGAAAATGGGGGCTGACACAGGTAGATAATTTTGTACACTTCTTTGACAGCACACAAGAAATAAAGAAATTCTGAATTGAGGGAACAAACATTTCTCAAGTTTAATTTTCTCTTAATTTCTTTGTGAATGCAATTTTGATTTTATACTGTCCTAAATATTTGACATTTCAACCTCAGTATTTGGATAAAAGATATTCTATGTTTCTCTTTATGGAATTTACGTTTTCACCCAGTAAATTAGCATCACCAGCATAAACCAGAAGCTGATGTGTACCATACAATCTGAGCTCTTCATGGTTCACTGTCTAAAGTAAAGTTGCACAGAAAAGGTGATAAGGCATCTCCATTGTCTCATGTTGTGAATATGAAATACGTCTGAGAATGGACTTTATCATATGTTTTATTTTATGCACATCTTAACAAGACAAACTAGCTTCATAGGTATACCAAATTCAATGAGAATTTTGTACAATGCATCTCTTCAAACTAAATTATAAGCTTTCTTAATGAATATAAATAACTGATGCAGTGTCTCACTATACTTCCACCTTTTCTACTGTGATTATATGATGAATGCAGACTATCTAATCAGCGGTTGAACTACTACATCAAAACCCATACTGCTTATCTCCAGTAATTTCTTCTAAATATGGAGATAACCTTGACAGATGAATGGTGGATAAAATGATGTATATACAGTATTTGACAATATGTATAAACAAATGACAATGATGTTAGATTTCAGATTCTCACAGCAATGATTATGAAGAACATTATCATCTGTGATGGGATACACTATAGTCTGATGGAATTTACTAATGATTTTGAGGAACATACTGTCCCTTCGAGGTCAAAAATAAGTCAAGTTCTTCTTGCTTGCTTGCTTGCTTGCTTGGCCTACTCTTCAATGTTGACAGTGAAGTAGTGCAGTTCCTTCTACCAAACTACACAGTGTCACCTCCAAGAAGATAGTGTTCTTCAAATGTGAGGATGTTCACAGTCCATCACTTGGACTTCGTGCAAATGGGAGCTCCCAAGCTCTGTGACTAGCTAACACATACATTATTTGAAAAAAATTATCAACTACAGGGGTTATTTAACATCAGAAAATGAGTGAATTATTATGATCAGCACATTGGAAAGGGTACGCATATGGTGTGGGTTGCTTGTAAGCTGCAATGACAGAGGAAAATCACAGAAAACCTCAGCCTGCCAAGATTCAAAGCAGGTACATCCCAAACAAAAATCAGGCATATTGACAATTAGCCAGTCAAGTAAGTAGCACATACCTATGTGGGCCAACGTGTTCTTTCTTGGGTGCAAGCTTGTCCAGACCATTCTCTCGAGGAGATGCTGTCCCGTTTGGAGGGGACACAGGCTCTTGTGAACGTAAATTTCTAAATGTGTATCTTTTACAATCACTAAAAGCTTCTTTCCTCTATAATGGTACCCACTGTGATGACTGATAAATAACCCGCACTGCACCTTTTGTATTTCAAGAAGTGTACAATGCAGAGTGATGAATTAAGTGCAAACTAAGTGCAAATAACATAGTTCACAATAAAAGAACTCATCATCAGAAAATATTTCAAAATAATGATAAAAGGGCTCATTATTGTGACAGGTTTGTTTCATGTGATAGACATGAAGGTGTTTTGTTATTATAGTTGAAGGGGCAAGCCTAAATAAATGTACTGTTTCTTGCTGGGAATAGAGAAACATAGGGAACACTTCAGTATGAAGAGTTATATAATAAATAATGTAGGCATGACTCAAAATATTAAAAATTACTGGGTTTTTGGATTCATAATGTTACCACTTCTTGGTTTAATTTTAAACAAGAAGCTCTGGGAAGAAGTGGCTGCCTGTTCTCCTTTGATACTACATGGACTGCAAAGAAAATTACACCTCCAGCAATTCTTCATTGTCATGAGAACATCTTAACCAAGTCACTACCTACCAATGATAAGGGGATACACAGACAGTCCCACAGACACAGGTGTACAACAATTCTTCTATTGTTCTGTGTATTCGTTGCCGCAGAAACAAGTTTACTGATGCCGCAGAAACAGGTTTACTGAGCTGTTGCTTAACTATGAAAGGAGGGATATACTTTACAACGCCTATGCCTAGCAACAATATGGGAGATACATATACAGACACACAGTCTGATGAGAGGGCTTTATTAAGTATGCCACTGAGATGGAATCAAGTGCCATGCTATACACACCAGTTTTCATAAAATTTGGTTCTGGCATTCAAAAGTTAATTGGGGGGGGCAATAATACACACACAGACAGCATGGATTTTGCAAAAGTATATTTTAATTTTTTTCCCAAAATAAGGAAAGTAGGCTAGAAATAAGAAAATATGTGTATCATGAAGGTATACGCTGTAATCAGTGTAACAATCACTGGGAAAAATGACCATTCAGATATGAATATAGGGCACATCAAGATCCTCCACATCAGTTTGTAGTTATATATGGAGCAAAAGCAAAATGTTCTATAACAGAAGCAGATCTGTAATAGTGAAAATCAAGATGGGTGTCTGAACTCTGCACGATTTGAAAGAGAAATTTTCCATTCCTTTCCTTAGCTATTTTGAAAGATCCATAAATTGGTCCTGATTAATCACCCTTTGGCCACCCAGTATTGTTGAGCATATTAATCCTGGATATCACAAAAATCTTAAGGATGGGCCATATGTTTGTCAAAAATTACTCCAAAGATGTTAAAACAGAAAAACATGGAACTTTGATACCAGGTTATCAGTCACTAGGTGATGAATCGTAGTCATGACTTCCTAAGTATGGCAATCAAGGGGTTACATGAAGAATTCAAGATGGCAGAAAATAAGATGTGAACTGTTCATTCGATGCAACCACTCCAAAATTATTTACAATTATAATATTGAAGCAATACCTTGTACATTTTTAATAGTTACCTCACTGGCATCATCCACTACAAGATCCTGGTCACTCTTCTCCCCATCACTTGCCTGCAATAGAGAAACAAACTTGTCACCACCTTCTCTTGAGCCAAATGACATAGCTAGTGTTTAGTATATCTGTAATCACCTTCATTAACTTCAATTGGCCCCTTACAAGTTATGTATTTAGTATCCAAAAGTTTAACCTTTTCGTCATATTGGTTCAACAGATGAAACTGAGGGACATATGCACAACATGGAGAGCTCATAAATCTGTTTTGTCCTCAAAGGAAGGAAGTATGCCTTAAAAAATACATTTCCCTGAATGTTTTAGTGTGAAATGGATTAGGAACTCCAAAGTGAGCATGTTACTTGGTTGGGCATTTGTTGTCACACTATGCTACATCCAGGTTTAGAAATCTTTCCCTATGGGTGGGTACCTGCAGCTTATTTGCAAAATGGTGAGATTCTGAACTTGCCAAGCCCAATGGGTTGTTCCACTTCTGGTGTCAAGGAACAATTCAATTCAATTCTTTATTATTTATGTGCCAAGTCAACAGCTGTAAGGCCAATTACAGACAGAGCACAGTGAAGATGAAAGTAATTCAGTGTAACATTAGACAAACACATTATAAGTCAAAAATAAATTACAGGAAATTTCTTGGGAAAACACAGTAATGAAGAAAAGTAAACAAACAAGCAAATAAATGATAATAATAACAATAATAATAATTTCATTATCATAAAACTAAGTGTTATTTAGAAGTGAAAAGAAACATAAATATTTAATTAATAATAATAACATCTCACATTCATAAGAAAATCACCAAGAGACCTTGATTCAACTCAACTTTAGCCATATAATAATAATAACTACAACTGAAAATACATTCAAACATAAAATATAAACTAACTAACTTTTTTTTTATTTTACTAAAATGTAAAATAAGTGTGTGCTGTATTTAGTAATCAGGCCAGAAGTTTTTTATCTGTTACTTTACTGATATGGGGAACGTGGTAGGGTAGCGTAGTTTGTTGAGGGACTATGCTAAAAGCCAGAAGGTCACTGGTTCAAGTCACTGGATTTTTTTTTTCAATTGACCTAATCCTTCCAGCCCCACTATGGCCCTGGGGTCAACTCAGCCTCTAACAGAAATGAATAACAGGAATATTCTTGGAATATTCTTGGGGGTAAAGGGCAGCTGGCAAGTAGGGCTGATTGTCTAGAAAATGTGGGAACCTCACACAACCCTATGGGCCTCCATGGCCTGTTACAGGGACAGCTTTAANATACCTTTACAATTACTTTTTACTTTACTGATATTCATCACATTCTTGGTAGTTATATGCTATAATTAACAAATTCTGTGTAGCTTCTGAATCTCTAATGTAATCAGATAAACAGAAAGTTGAGCTCTGCCTTCTGGGATATAATGCTATATAGTCCGACAAGAGACAACCAATGTTTGTATCCTGAAAGACAGAACTCTCCATAACCACAGTTGTGAAAACTTAAAAATCATAAGCAGAAAGTTGTCATAAAACATTGCACATTTTAATGTAAATCAAATGAAACTGCCACATAACCTTAGGAAAATTTCATTATTTGTTCCATGACACACAACCATCTCCTAGATAATATAAAAATTATCATTAAGTGACTTCCGGGTCATTTTATACAGAAGTACGCTTGTGTATGACTGGTGGAACCTTTCAGCATCTCCCATACCACACCAGTAATTATCCAACTTAGTTTTCAGCCACATATACAACACACATCAGCTAAAAGCTGATCAAAGAGAATCTCAATGTAAATTTTTTCTGTACCAACTTCTCTGTTTCATACAAATTGGCACGTACTCCATAATCAAATGAAGAAATGGGAATTAACCTCTCTTGAAATTTACATATTTTTGAAAATATGTCTGCATATCACATGCTAACCAGTTAATATCATACCAGAGGAATATATATAAAATTCAACCAGAAAATTCTGTATTTCCCATATATAACTATGGTTTCGGTTCATCGACTCTTACAAATCACAGCCCTTAGGGGGCACTGAAATTATAGTTTCACTAAATATGAAATTAAACAGTCCCAAAGACAGTTTGATAGAACAAGCATGATGACGACGGTGATGATGATGATGATGATGATGATGATGACAGTGATGATTTTGATGCTGCTGCTGATGATGATGGTGATGACAATAACATGAGGGATTAATAAATCTAGAAGCTCCTTTCTTTGTCAAAGGTCAACGATATGATATGGACTGACAATACTGTAATATCGACTGACTGCTGTGATCTCCTGATTCTATCACAACTAGCTACAATTACTTTTGCATTTGATTTTCATTTGTAGTTTATTTAATGGCACGTCAATAGTGAGTACCTAAAGCAGGCACTGCTATACCAGTATTCTGATAAATGACCAATAAATCAAGAAGGTCTGTTTCTAAACTGAATTACATCAACAGTCCAAAACCAGATGCATTTCTTGGTTTACAATTTTGTTGAACAGAAACATGTTGACAGAAATCACAATTTATATACTGAATGATAATTAAAATGTAAATTCCTCATTCAATCACAGTACTAAGGTGACATAGGAACACATGCATTATAATGAATGAAACTTCATGAACAATACATAAGAAAACTGAAATGATTACCTGTGCATATGTAGACTATCTGCATAGAGCAGACATACAAACAGCAGTTAATAGAATGTGTCGCTTAAAAAAAGCTTCCTTGTTAAGTGTCAAGCTTTCCATAAGGGGCAAGGAAAACCGAGGAATGATAATTGATATGACTTTACATACATTACACACGCAGTTACTTTCTATGCGGAACACACGTAAGCATATGCCTAAACTTGGTTGACTCTTCTAACAAACAATGATTCTTTCAGCCTGTGATCATTATGCATTCTAATTATATCCTTTGATGTAGTATCAGGCACAGTATGAAAATGGCAATACCCCTCATCAACCTATAGCTTTACACATACATAAAACACATCAAACTACCTAAAAATAAAAATATATCTATTATAATAAAGTATATTACAGCAATCACATAAAGAAAATAAATACCATTATACTGTTTTCTGCAAAATAGGCATTTATTCATATGATGCACAATGGTCTCTATGATGACATAAAAATGAAATTCAAATTGTTGTACATATTTCAGTAAACCTATTATCCTCCAATGGAGAGAAGGCAAAACAATTACCAAAGCCCCACTGGATGTACTGTTCAAGCTGAAAACATGAATGGGATTTTTGGATGACTCTTACTATTTCCATTGATACACTGAAGCTCAATTATAAAAAAATGAAGTGCAATGAAGTCAAGGTCAACCCATTCTCTTCATTAGAGGAAAGTAGGTAAAGCTCTCTTTGGGCAGACTGCTTTTCTGCGATGTAGACAGTTCCCCTGCATGAGGACAGAAGTTAATCATGGTGGCTCAGACCATATCTTAGCAAAAAAGCATAACAAACATATACTGATTTGCAACAGCAAACCAGAACTGACACATGAAAGATATGACTTACATTACACAGTTTTACCCCTTCTCAAGATCAATTTAATTCTGTAATGACAATACTTGCCTCTAACAGTGGCCCTGACCAGAATGCTTTAACTGTAGCAGTACAGTCTGTATGGTGTAAAAGCGAATCCAATCAGCAAAGAGGCTGTCGACCAAGTTGCTGATTAGCGTAACAAGTATTTCTTTCTACATAGACACCATTAACAAATTAGTCTAATTGCATTCATCTTCATAAAACACTCCCCACAGATGTCAGAAGAAATCACACAAAGAACATTTTCATTAAATGGTTTTGGATGTGAAGTAATTAGCTTGCTAAAATGAATTGCTTTCAATAAGGATACCATGTTCATATCACACTGTTAACTAAGTCAAGTATAAATTCAAGAAGGAAATCAACCCTGAACTATCCAAACCAATTAGCATGGTAAATTACTTCTGTGTAAGCACCCACCCTTATACTCCTCCTATCACCCTCTATGCACCACTTACCCTATTCATAGCAAATGTAATTACTGAAGGAAATGTTGGCCATTACATTATACTACATCTAGCAATCTCAGAGTGATTAACTACATAATTTAAACACTAAGAAAGACATTCCCACTGCTGACATTTGGAATTAAATTAATTTGTATAGCATCAAACAAAGAAGAAACTGGAGAGTACAATTTTCATGTCCATTTTTCCTTCTTTGCAATTCAATTTCTCAGCATAGTGCTTCCCATGCAGAAAGTGTTTTAAAACCTTAAGATAAAAATAAATAAAACAATAATTTTGTATGTTCTGCCATGCCAATGAGATTTTCGATTTTCATTCAGTTATAGGCATAGCCTCCAGAAAGAGAGTATTTCTTGATCTCAACACAAAAGTGAAAATAATCAAAGGAAGTGAAAATGGGAAGTTGTCAGTGAAAGAAATCGTGACAAAGTTTAAGGCTGAGAAAACTGAAGGGTATGACATATTAAAAGGCAAGTCAGAACTCGGTGACAAAATTGTAGCAAAGGTTCAATCAAACTGACATTAAGAAAAATTAGAAATGAGGACATTAATGAAACTGTGTGGTGTGGATGGTAAATGGGTGAGCTAGAAACTTTCCAACACATGGATAGTAGTAGGCCCTCCTCTTACAGCCGATTCGGATAACCGCGGCTTTTATCAAGTCCCCCAGTATGATTATACATGTTTTTAATGCCGTACATAATCCTGTGAAATGTTTTAATTAAAGTTTAAGACTGCACTGCAACATTCCATGCTGTACTTTGCAGGCGCAGAAGATAAAGCCCATAGTCCGCTATGAACAGGCAGTACTGATGTTGGTTCTGCTCTTGGGTTGTTATATCACGTGGATATGGAGGATGCTGCCGCTATCTTCAGAGTATAAGTGCGTAGACTGATAAGATTCTGTATATGTATATACAGCATTGTATTTTGGAAAAGAGGCATGCTGAGAGTGAGGCTGGTGCCTCCTATAACCCAACAGGCACCGTGTACAAGTAAAGCTGTAGACTGTGCTTTTCTCACCTCTCTAAACTTGGGGTTTTGTTGCAATGATGAAATGCTCAACCAGCCCGAATGTACTTTTAAATTATGTGTATGTAATTTAGTCAGCACAAAAATCTGTATACATAATAACAGACAAACTCCGTGCTTTTAGTCCGTAAGCGAACTATATCGACCGCCTCTGTGGTCTAGTGGACAGAGTTCCTGGCTAAAGATCCAGAGGTCCAGGTTCGATTCCCGGCGCTTTCAGATTTTCTGAGAAGTAGCGGGTCTGGAACGGGGTCGACTCAGCCTCGTGACGATAATTGAGGAGCTACTTGAATGGAAAATTAGCGGCTCCGGTCTAGAAAACCGAGATTAATGGTCGTGGGGATTCGTTGCGCTGACCACGCGACACCCTCTATCCGCTAAGGTTGGCATTACCTTCGCCGAAAAGCGGCGGTCGGTCATTCCAAAATCAGATAAATGTGGCTTCATTTACGACGCAGGGACTGAAGCTGTTCTCCAACACCCGCTTCATAGAGAAGGTCTAATGTAAATTAAAATCTGGTGCCAATTCAGAATGTATTTATATGGAGAGTGAGGAAAAAAGGAATATGTTAAACAAGGTAAAGCTGTCCCTGTAACAGGCCGTGGAGACCCTAGGGTTGTGATGCGTTGAGGCTCCCACATTTTATAGACAGTCGGCACATAGATAGCGGTGAGGCTGTCAGCTTTACGCGTCGGCCCCCTTCTACTTCCAGGAGGCTTCCTGGTACTCATTTCTGTTAGAGACTGAGTCGACCCCTGGGCCATACTGCGGCTGCATTGATTAGGTCTACTGAAAAATACAATGACCACGTCGGGAATCGTAACCGCGACCCTCTGGCTTGTGGCCAACTAGGGAAAGACTGGAAGTGTATAATATAAAATTATCTTAGTTTAAATTAATCTTCGAAACACAGAATTTACCATTTAATATATAAAATTCACAGTATGAAACACAAAAGGTACCAACGCAAAAAAAGGTAGAAACAAATTTGAACGTCGTCTGTGTGTGTGGTGCGCAGAGTCCGTGTGAATCACATTTACAAGCGACCATTAAAGACATAAGTAAAAGTAAAGCTATCCCTGTAACAGGCCATGGAGGCCCATAGGGTTGTGACATGTTGAGATTCCCACATTTTCTAGACAATCGGCTCATAGATGGTGGCATGGCTGTCAGCCTTACGCGCCGGCCGCCGTTTACCCCGAAGAATATTGCTGGTACTCATTTATGTTAGAGGCTGAGTCGACCCCAGGGCCATAGTTTGGCTGGAAGGATTAGGTCAATTGAAATAAATCCAATGACCTCTTCGGGACTTGCATTCGCGACCTTCCGACTTGTAGCATAGTGCCTCAGGAACTTCTCTTGGTCTTCACTTTGGGAAAGTTTAAGCAGGATACCGATATTTACATTGTGGGGGTTCCAAAAATCATGGGGCCTTAGCAACTATCCATTTCGTCCACTGAACATAATGGCTCTGGCCTCAATTCAGAAGACAATATGATAAAACATTGTTACTTACATGGCAGTCTTTTTCTTCCTTTTTTAGTTTTTTGTGCTCAGATTCCGGAGGGCTCCTTGGTCGGTATTTCTCCCTCTCCGCTGGAGAGATTGAGTTTCGCTGTAACAGAAAACAAGTTAGTTTTACTATGGCGTTACTCAGAAGTATGTAAGCAGTATCGTACAATCACCAGCATTGATATGCATAAAATAATTTCTCCATATTTTAGGTAGTAAAACGTCGATTTACTGTGAAGTCAACAATCACATTCCTTCTAGTCCAGTTTCCATGTAGTCGGCCCTAAATGGTGTCGCACATTTTATGACGCTTTAAGACAGGCGCCATTTGAGTTTACGGCAGCGCAATAACGTTATCTCCCCTTATAAAACCGCCATACTGGTCTCCCGAGATGGATGTACCTGCACGTATCTTGATACTACGGTCCTTACGAAACCACAATTCTAGTTATGACAAGACGCGAAGTGAAAATCTTTCGAAGCTCTCTTTCTGTTTAATCTCACGTTTTATGAGGGCGCTACCCGATTCGCCGCTGTTCCGGTCAATTTCGTCTTACTGTCTGAAGCCGATAAAGCCTTAACCCTCAGAGGACGGGGTATGAGAAAACGAGATGTGGATGGTTAAGAAAAAAAAAAAGAGAAAGCTTAAAGACAAGACGAAAGAGTAGGAGGGTAAGAATTCAGTGTAGCAGTAAGAAAGCTTGAACCATACTGCCGTTTTATTTGCTAAATTGGCTTTTCTCTTTCTTCTTGGATGATAGGCGGGATGTCGAGGCTGAACGCTAGGAGCAAGTTCCACTGCTTGCACATAGATGCCACCATGATCATCACTTGTTTGGCGGTGACCCCACATGACCGCCCTACGCATGGCTTAGTTTCCAGGCCCCGAACAAATGTAATTCGCTTCACTGGACGTGCCAGGGATCATTTCCTGCCATCAGAAGACACGAACACACACACACGTACGTTCACAGAAATTGTTCTTGTCAGTATAGGTAGAACGGAAGGCCATTAAGCTTCGTAGTTGCGGTATCTCGTTGTACTCCACACGAAGAGCCGCTAGTAAAAGACACAGTTCTTCTCATTTGTTTATTTAAATGGCATGATGTACAGCAGTGAACCGCCTCTGTGGTCTAGCGATCAGGGTTCCTGGCTACAATTTCAGAGGTCCCGGGTTCGATTCCCGGCGCTACCAGATTTTCTGAGAAGAAGTGAGCCTGGAACGTAGTCCATTCAGCCTTGTGAATATAATTGAGGAGCTATTTCAAGGAAATAGTGGCTACGGTTTAGAAAACCGAGATTAACGGCCGTGGGGATCCGTTGCGCTGGCCATGTGACACCCTCTATCCGCTAAAGTTGGCACTAACTTCACCTACAAGCGGCGACCCATCGGTCTATATAGTTTGCTTGCGGACTACAGGCCACAGAGTTTGTTTTGTGTCCGCAGTTTCCACATTCCCCACAACTTTCCGTTCCACGAGCACTGCCTCTCTTCCAGCCTTGCAGTCGTCGATCACACTAATTCGGTCATGCAAAAGGAGTGCCGGGGAGCTTACTTCCTTGTCAAACCAATTCAGTGCTAGAAAAACATGCACAGTTCATAACCACAGTATGAAACAGTTAAGAGTATTGCTGACATACATTTTGAAAATAAGAAACCCTTGAGTTACTGGAACACGTACTTCTCATTATACTTCCGGAAATTCCTCTGATTACGTGAAAAGATACCAGCAGCAACAGCAAGTGACCGGAAATGAAGAAAAGGCGCAAAACAACTAACTTCGTAGTTGTCTAAAGATTCCATACTGCATTCACTATTTCTTCCCTTTTCGCAGACAACGCTTGAGTCTTACTATGTGTGTTGACATGATCGTTTTGTGAACTGGAGAGATCACGAAGAATGCCGTCTTCTGGGAAGTGGGCCGTGTAGATCTTTGTAAATTTACGTTTTGGAGGAAAGTACCACGTCCATCTTTAGGTTAGAAAAATTCGCAAGCGAAGAACCAGCGTGAGCAGGTGGCAGCAGACTGAGCCACCAGTCGAAAACACCCAGCTATATAAGAATAGAGTGAGGGAGGGGGAGTGAGCCAAAAAGGAGGGGTAGGGTCAGAAATTGGTAACAAGGACAGGGCAAGCAGGTAGCAGAGCGGGACAGAGCAGCTAGAGAAAAAGCTAGGGTAAGGAAAAAGCCAGGGCTACCAAACGAACATTTACCCAGTAGCCACGGGGATAGAGCTGCCGAGTGTGTATTGACCCGAGTAGCCTTGTAGATCTGGCATCATGTTCGGGAGGTTTCTTGAGGGAGTAGATGAGAGGCTTCCACGACTTGCTAAGACAAAAAGCCATCTCTGTTCATACTGTTGGGATGGTGCTCCACGTATCGAGTTCTTGTGGCGAGGACAGAGGTATTGTGAAACTGAATATGGCATAGCAACTACGCTACGTGCTGGACCACAGGGAAGTCGGGGCAAAATATTTCTCTCCTTCCCACAGCGTAGACTGTCCTCTTACTCTATGGGCACCTGGAGCTATTTCCCCCGGCGGTAAAACGGCGAAGTCATCAAGCTGAAAACTCACTTCCATCTAGTGCCAGTGCTAATAATGATGGAGCTATACCTCGACTCCCTCATATGTCTTCAGGGCGTAGTTCTTCATTTATTAAGTACAAGAATACTTTTATCTTGTGACTGTAGGGTCCCACAACAAGGAAAGGAATCAAGGCAGGCCCAGAGGGAGACCTAGCAACCTGTCCAACAGGTACCGGAGTCTCTTTCACTGGAGATAAAATGGTAGGGGAGCGAAACTAGCAATCCACGTCCATAAAATGTGGAAGGAAAAAAAGACTGGAGCTTTGCCTCTACTTCCCCATGCATAATTCCTAATTTAGTACTTAATCAAAAGCTGGGAACTTGGACTTTTACATTTATGTACCAATAACATTTTTGATAAGTAGTAATTCTAGCGTGTAACTAGAACAGAGCTGTGGTTGGCAAAATGCGGGGAGGGGGATGCAGTCCCCATAGGTGTAATGAAATTCCACCACCTTGAAACAAAATTAAACTTAACCGAACTGATATCACATTTCTACGGCGTGTGGAACGGATTTACTTAAAACCAGTCTGATTGAATTTGACGTTCTTGAAACTAAATTACTGGAAAATTAATAATTCAACCACAATCCTCCCCAACTATCAATACCGGATTACAATTATATAGAGGATATAAGCGACCGGTGTGGGACGAAAAAGGCACAGGATTATTAAAGCGGCATACGAACAAAAACGTGGCGACGTACCAACTGCCGGTACTTGCTCTCTCCTTTGAAGCCTGAAATCAATGTAAATTATATTTAATAACTACGTTTCTACATCACAGAAAACACACTGCGTCCTGATTACCTAGTAACGCTATTTAGGGTAATAATCGCTGTTGATTTTCCATCTCACATAGAACCTCGTTCCTCTGTTTCATGCAATCATGCCTTTACATCTCACTAACCGCTCACGACCAGAGCTATATAAGGGAACGCGAATGGGGAAATACTTACATAAGCACATACACCACATAGGCCTACAAATCAGAACAGTTTTAAATCTACTATTCAGGGCACACGAAATTAATTACATTAAAATTCCGACCTCAAGTTTTCAGGATCAGAATTCGTTTGCGTACTTCACAGTATAACAATCTACATGGCCCGCGCCGTGTATTCATTCTTACGTTCATGAGAGATCACTCAAACATAAATGCTTTGAAACACGGCCCATGAAACGGTCTTCTCCACCGTCGTTCCCGGCAGAGCTTATGTATATGTAACTTTCCTGTCCACATTCTGTCAGTTTCCTGATCCTACCGCGGACGGAATACAAAACACTCAAACATATTAAATTTGCTGTGTACTATTCCAGACATGTACAACACAAGGTCCTGTGGCACAGTGAAGTACTGGCCCAGAGCGCTGAAGGGGGAAGGGTGGGTAAGAGTGGGTCAAAGCGACTTCGAACTACGGTACTGGAAGTTGAAGCGCGGGAGATCCAACCTCTGACGACACAGACAGTACACACCGGTCAACAGTTTGTGGCAGAGGCTCGAATCCTCTTATGCAATTTTTCTTGTAACAGCACAAGTAAACTTTTTAATCTCCTGTAATCATTATGCTTAAACACTGCGATGAAAACAGTTTTTACTTACTGAACTAAAATGTATTCTGAGTTGCATGTTTAAATAGCAGTCGGTACAGCGACGGGTTGGACGGCAGAGGTTCGATTACGGGATGTAGTAAGAGAATTTTATCTTCTCCACAGCGTCCTGGCCGACTCTTGGGTAACCCAGCCTTCTATCGCACGGGTACCGGGGACTCTCACACCGGAGTTAAAGCGGCCAGGGCGTGAAGCTGACCACTCACCTCCAGGCACTGCAGAAGTCTAGATTTTTGGTTTCACCTCCACTCCCTCATAAATATTCATGGCATTGTACATAATTAAGCATAAAGAAAACTTTACTTTTTTTATGTGTTCAAAATATTTGACGAAACGTACTTGCCTGTTAATGAATTTAAAAATTATGTTTCAATGTCCAAAGTGTGGTATATTTATTGCTTGAGAACCCGTTCTGCTGTAGCCATTTCCATCATTACACAAACATATCGCCACACGTTCGTGGGTGTATTAATAAACTCTATGCCTCTGAAGCATATNCACTTCCATCATTACACAAACATATCGCCACCCTTTCTTTGCCAAAGAACACGTTCGTGGGTGTATTAATAAACTCTATGCCTCTGAAGCATATGTACATGTACAAGTACACCAGTCCTTAAGCATCTGAGCTGCAGTGTTACCAATTAAGAACCAGCTGAAGGCCGCGCCATAGCTCTGTGGCTTCCCACCGCGGTGACCCGGGTTCGATCCCGGGTCTGTTCAAGTAGGATTTATGGTGGACAAAGTGGCGCTGGGGCAGGTTATGTCCAAGTACTTCGGTTTCCCCTGCCAATCTTCATTCCACCAAATTCTCCATCATCATAATCACCCGAGGCAGGTACAATATGCCAAGCAGTGGCCGACGTGCTGAGTGAACCCAGTTGGACTCCACCCCCCACTAAGC